GGGTGGTTACCATAAAACGCGCCTAGTCCGAGATCCTCTGACCATGCCCACAACCGACGATTTTGGTAGATTTGGTGTGGGTTAGATCAGAAACAACTTGCGCTATACAAAACGTCGAATTTCTACGATCCCGCCAAGGATGGCTGTTTCATCGCTCTAGAACTCACAATTGGGGCTATCAATCAAGACCTGACGCACATAGATCGAAAATGGATACTTATTGCTTGCTCGCGTTGGTAAGTACACGTTGTCTCTTTACCTTAGTCGTATTTCGATTTGAAAAATTTGTTGGCTAACAATTTCCCTCCGACATCGGCCATCCATCGTGCATTCCAACTGCACTTTGGGAAACTCCACGCTACCAAAATATGCTATCCTGTGTTTCCCAAATGCAGTTGAATGGCACGATGGATGGCCGATGTCGAGAGGAAATTGTAAGCAACAAATTTTCAAATCGAAATACGACTAGGTAAAAGAGTACAAGTGTACTTACCAACGCGAGCAAGCCAATAAGTTATCCAGTTTTCTATGTGCGTCAGGTCTTGATTGATAGCCTCAATTGTGAGTTTGGAGCGATGAAATGCACAGGCGATCCCAGCGGAACGGAGAAAATGCCCGTTTTGTATAGCAAGTTGCTCTGATCTAACCCACACCAAATCTACCAAAATCGTCGATGTGGGCATTGTTCAGAGGAAACTCAGGCCCAAAACGGTTCAAGGATAGAGAACATGGGTCCCATAACACCAAGTCATTTACATCAATATAAATATAATATTATATTCAATATAATAGGTTAGGGTTATGTTAGGGTAGGATTAGGGTTAGGGTTAGGGTTAGGCACATGGTTTTATTGGACCCATGTTCTCTATCCTTGGAACCGCCTTGAGTGAATCACTCAGAGTTCCTCCAAAGAAAGAATAGGCTCGCGTTGTAACCCTATCCTGTGTTTGGGTTACATTATTGTATCTAATGTTTACCGACTCAGTAAGAGTAACACAGTGCTGTCACGAGCCGGCTAGAGACAATGATACGAGACTTTCTATTTCTATTTGAAATATTTCTAAGACTAGTCGGACTCTAACAACGATTATTATTATTAAACTACACGACGGGTTCTAGATTTCCACTTTACTTTGATCCTTATCGTTGTAACTCCGCTGCTGACGCTGACTTTAACTCAGGTGGATTAGTATCAATGTCTTTAGACACTTCTTTCAGTCTCAGCAAATCGATTAAGCCGCAATTTGTAAGTAAAAATGGCGACAGTCGCGAGGAAAGCGATTTTAGCGACACACAGCGGTAATCAAAAATATTATATATATTAGGAGCCGTGATTCGTCTACGTTCAGACATGCTGTTGAAATCGTAGTTGTGATTGGATGATCCTGGACCATGCCTTTTGTTGACATCATGGCGGAAAAGTTAACAGGTATGTCAATCTCTCTCGAGTCTCTATTAGATTTAGTATTATGTTTAATGTCTTTCAAGTGTGTATGCAGTGTTAAATACAAATTTTATTTTAATGAAATTACACTAAATGCATTGGCTATATCGTAGTCCGTTCACGCGTAATATCAAATTATTTTTAATATGAAATGAAACCACGTTTTATAATTTCAATGAATGGATTTTCGTGAGCATAGCCATATTAAAGCCGCGTTCAACACGGTCATGATTTGGCCATTTGGCTCGAGCCAAATGGGCCAGATTTGGCTCTGGCCAAATTTGGCTCGGGCCGGGTTGAGTCGGCGCGTTCACACGTACGCAAGTGAATACTGTCTGTCAAATTCAAATTCAAAGTAAAATAAATTTTATTGCACAAATATCTCACACTCACAGTCACAGATACTTTGGCAGTTACTGAGTATGTCGCGAGATGGCGTTGTTTACTATTTAGAGTGTTTACTTACGTTCCGAGTTTAATTATCAATTTTGAAAAACGTGCATCAGGACTGATCAAATTTTCGAATTTTTATACTGTTTTGGACCTTTATTTCGTTGAAGTACACGTTTGACACTCGCGCGCATCTCAGCCGCCACGCATTCTACCTCTCTAGCGCTCGCCGAAGCTGTGCTAAAATTGGCTCGGCCTGGTCCGACGTTTTCGATGGGACCAAACTGCTCGGGCCTAATTAGGCTCGGGCCAAAAACGTCCGTGTGAACGCTCGGCTCGAGCCAAATCTGGCACGGGCCTAATTAGGCTCGGGCCAAAAACGTCCATAGTCATGATACTGTGAATGTGATAGTGCATACGTCCTATACGACGTCAAAAAATGTTGAAATTATTTTTCTAATAAATTTTATCTATTTATTATCCTTTGATACAGGTGTTTGCCTTGCCATCACATAGCAGCTGTTTACACCAGTTTGAACCAACTGCATAGATCTATCCTGATGAGTGATGGAGGTCATAGACATAGAGCATCATGCTGAGCATTGTCCATTGAATAGATGCTCAGATAGATGCACGTCATCAAGATTCACAATGGGTCAAGTCCGCACGAACAATTTAGAGTTAAACCAGTGACCTTGTTGGGAGAACCAGAGCTCAGCAACGCTTACCATATTCAATGTATTCAATAATTTTAATGTTATTAGGAAAATTCATTCGTATATATACTATTTTGGGTTATCTATAGCTGTTACCAGACTACTTTTAATACAACTAAATGATTGGTCAAACTTATCAGAATATTTATGGTAAAATCTGTAAATTGTTTACAGTCTGTATTTTACAGTACATATATTTACTATGCCTGCATCAGATACGAATTCCCTGACTCCTCTGTCGTCGGGGTTGGATAAACGGGAACATTCACTCGTATCAAGCAGCTTGTCACCGGTGGGGACGCCTGTCAAACAATGGAAGAAGCATAATCACGAACTTGTTGTCTCACATGAAGGAAAGTCTATATCTGAGAGTTCACCAGTGTGTGTTTGTCACACTCAAATGAATGCAGCCCCGATACACGTGCGTCATACGCTGGAGACATTTGGAGTTAATAAGACTCATAATATTGAATTGGGAGCTTACTCTGAGAGTAGCCACTTCCTGGATTTAAATCACTCCATAACAGTACAGAGAAATGGCACAGAAGTCATTGATCGACTGTCATCGGGTTGCTTTACTCGGTCGCATGATAATCATTGTTTGACCTGTGATAATGATATAGAAACTCATCAGTTAAGTGGAAGAACTGTCACTGTGCCTTATCAAGTGACTGCCACTAAACATGTACCGAGTAATGAGATGAGTCGGCATTGTTCCTCGTTTGAGCATCACGAGCCCGAACTGGTGCGGAGAAGTGCATATTCTGAGGCAAGCACGCCGCCATTGGAGCAACGAGATGGCGAGGGCAATCTTGCTAATGACTTTCAATGTACGCAGAAGAGCAACTATCATCTGTCGTTGGGCCACGACGTCAGTCAGGGGGTGGAAGCCGCAAGTCCAAGAACGCACGCGCCGGTGATTAAGTGCGGAAGCGAACCATCATCATCAGCGGCAGACATCGTCGAGAGAGTGCCGACTATTGACGTACTGCAAAGTTTGGAGCTATTGCAACCAGTTGCATGTAAAATTCCTAACCACCGCAAAGACGCAGCCCGTATTACTTCTACGTGGCAGCCAGGTGATGCTAGCAGGTTGCCATCTTCTAATTCGAATACATGTGAGATCATCGTAAAACAGCCGAACGAAGAGCTACCAAATGGCCTGGCACCCGTACCGTGGGAAGGTTCGGCGGCACGTGAATCTAGAAGTACCTGCGAATCTGTTATCGTCTCGTACCAGAGGCAGTTGGAAGTTGTTCAGTGCTCGCCGAGTTGGAACAGCAAGGCAAATTCATCTGTGGATGACGTTTCTCTCGATGAACATCGTAGAAATGCCAGCTCTGAACCGCATGTTGCCCGCCAAGAAGTCTCGTCCTTGCTACTTTGTGATAGTGAGCGGATAGATGACGATACGTCTCAATCATCGCCGACCGACGACGATTCACGACCGAGCTCGTCGGAAGCGACGCAGGGTAACCGCGTCGACGCCGTCGCTTGCAAGATGGCCGCCGCTCTCTGCACCGCGTCCGAGCGATCCGATGCGTACAGTACAAATCCGACAAAGAAGAAGAAGCAGCGTGACGACTCTGCGCGCAACCGCCGCGCTGCCGATTCGGCGGCCAGCCCACTTCGCGTGCAGATGAAGCGACTGCGCAACGAGACGAAGGTCGGCGGCAAGGTTGCGAACGCGTACCCGCTCGACCTCGCCCCGCAGCCGGCCGACGACAGCGACATCGGTGAGGCGGGCGTCTCCGACGACGAGTCACTCAGCGAGGTCGACTCGAGAAGCGAGAGCATGTTGTCGTGCGGCGGCGCGTCGTCGGCGGCGACGAGTCGCGACGAGTTTGACACGGCGTACGACAACGAAGAGGGCGCCAACGATGCGCTGAGCAGCCTCGAAGATGACAGTCAGGCAGGTATGTATGTGTGTACGGTAGCTCCCGGATAATTCGGGTGTTGGTAACAGTAGACGGCGATCGGCCAGGTATGTATGTGTGACAAACTGCATGCAGTGCCCCTTCGCTCACTCAGGATACCACTGCCACAATGCTAGCACTATTTTTAAAGTGGCGGAGCTCGGGGGGGAAATCCAGCGAATGGAGATTCGTAAACAGCGTATGATTTGAAAGAGGTGAATGGGCGCACAATCTGCGTACTATTTCGTATCACTATTTTATCAAATTTGTCATGAAATAACGGTCGGATTTTTAATATCTTTGCAATTATTATTAGTCCAAATCTTAGTACATAGGATACGAGTAACCTGGCCGCTGTAAAACTTGTAGTAAAAAAGCGTTACAAATTGTAACTGAAATCTACTTTTGGCAGCGGTAGATTGAGCCCATGAGCGAGAGCGCCATCTGTCGTGGAGTTTGTATGTGTGATATAAGTGCAGGGAGCTCCATGATAAGTGAAACATTGGTAACACTAACAGTAGACGGCGATCGGCCTGGCGCAGGGAGTTTCCGCGTGAATTAGAAAGGAGAGCGATTAATTCCACAAAGCTTCTGACTACATCCCTCCAATGCACAACTTTTTAAGATATTTAGAATCTGCTGTTGAACGACATTCATGTGCATTTCTCTTGATGCGCGTATAATTTTTTAGGTGCACCTAGATGCAGTAAATCTTGTGTAATGGCTACTTAAAAGAAACACAAAAAGTATCCAGATGGAGATTCTATTGAGGTAGTTTCACTGTGTAGCTACTATTTAAAAAAGAAAACACCACATGTGGCCTTTACGAGCAGGCGACCGTTTTATGCAGGTTTGATCGTACACTTTTCTCTTCGTAACGTGTAGCATGTGCTGCTATCGCCTGGCTTTCAGAGGTTGACTTGATGTCGGTTGCGAGTGAGCTGAGTGACACGTGTCCGTCGCCGTACACTGACCAGGCCAGCGAAGGTCTTAGCCAACTGTCGATGTATGAGGTCTCTGATGGATGCGCGGAAGGCAGTGGAAGCTCACCATCTTCTGCTGAAATGCTGTCGCCATTCATCCCTAGTCTGTTTCCCGAAGTGCCACCCGTAATCAACTTCTGCGCGTCGGACCAGAAAAGTACGTACACGATATATTAAAGTCGCGACGCTGCGTCACTCTTACCTAAAGCGGGCAGCACACTTCACCATTTTCGTTGCTCCTACAGGCAATTTTCGTGGTCGCCACAAAAATGGCCAAGTGTGCGGGGGCCGGCAACGACCACTCACCACGGAAATTTAGTGGTGACCACGAGTTGCCGAGAATCAAACCGGTTTGATTTCTCACCACGAAAATTGCTCGTGGTGGCAACTTGTGGTGAAGTGTGCTGTGACGCGGCAACGGCCACAAAAATTGCCGACCACGAAAATTGCCTGTACGAGCAACGAAAATGGTGAAGTGTGCTGCTAGCTTAAGCCATGTGGAGTAGTCGCTATAATTAACAATGGGTTCAGATAGCTGTTGTTTAGTGTGAGCTTGACATTGAAAATGACATTGAGAAAGAATTAATGCAGTAGTCTATCAATCTAATCGATCCTTTGATGAACACCTTTATTTGGATGTGCCCATGTTTCGTTCCAGTAAAACCATTGCCATTGCCACTAAGGAAGCTGCTGAAGTGGAGACTCAGTACAATCACTCCCCTCATTGTAAAGGGCCTTATTGCTCGTAGTGGCTTTCGTGTGTCTAGGAGTGAGTATATCTATAATCTTCTCTACATGTACCTCTAGGCATAAATATGACTTTCAGTATGGCATATGGATCTCTAGAAAGTTCAACTGTACATGGGGGTTACAAAAAAACGGATGTTTGGAATTTCTTTAAGTTAAAGACTAATACATAGATAGGCCTATATGTACAACTTGTGATATCGGTGTAGGGTTTGGGGAGGAAATATATATGTATAGTTTCCTGTTAACTTGCAGAACTGTTATTTAAATATAATTAGCATGTTATATCAATGTATTTATGCTGTCCATTAAGTCATGTAACACCATTGGTCAAATTTTGCTAAAAAAAATCTTGTAGTGTTGTATGTATTCACCTGAGGAAAGATTTAGTTTTTCATCTTGCATTTAGGTAACTGATGCATTTGCCTTTTATAGAAGAACATGACTGGCTTGGTTACTGGGGCAAACACATGAAAAGTGGAGGATTCGGTGTAATAAGGGAATTTCAGAAGGTATACTAAATTATTTTATTTTGCTTCTGCTAGGTAAGAAACAGCTTTATAAAAGATAGATTTCTACCATTAGGATTTATTAAATTGCGTTCGTTCTAAACAAAATAAACTTGAACAACTAAAACCTTGATCACCTGTATTTACATTTACCCATTTACCATTTACCCATTTTACCATTGACCCATTTACATTTTTAACAAAGTGTACCATTCAAACAGATTATAGGCATGTCCATTCAAAAGATTTTTGCACACATGCGATTACTGCTCACATGACCTGCATCAATTCAGATTGGCACCTTTTCTCCATGCTTTTCAGGTGAACCATTTTCCTGGGTCTTTCCAAATCGGCCGCAAGGACCGGCTGTGGCGCAACCTGGCTCACATGCAGAAGCTACACGGGAAGAAGGAGTTTGGCTTTGTGCCTCAGACGTTCGTTCTGCCCCAGGATGTGCGGCTGCTGAAACGCACCTGGCAGGAGCACTCGTGCAAGAAGTGGATCGTGAAGCCTGTAAGAACTTGCATGATTGTTGCACGCGTAAAAGCGATAGGTCGTTCGTTTGCTGAGATTTTGCCTCGCAACCTTAAGTGCCACTGTCAGGGGAATAAGAAGCTCTATGGTGCAGTTTGCATTACATCAGGGGTTAATAATGACAAACGTTTGTCATTATTAACCCCTGGTTACTTGTACTGCGTGCTGATGTGCTGGTGTTATCATGGCTTGTTATGTGTCGACACTGGAGATGAATCTAAGGTGTTATTATAAGGCAATATATATAATTAAATACATTTATTGCATGGTTACGAAGGAAGGGTTTTCTGGACGGAGGAAATTGTTATTCTCTTATTCTCAGCAAAGCATGTTGCTCAAATAATCAGGCAAATAATCAGGACTAATTAATAGGGGTGACTGAGTTGTGTGACACATCACCAAGAAAACAAGGATAATTCCACATTCTAGACTTAGTCTATCCACTCTAAAATGCTCTCTCCTTCACATGAACAAATTGCAGCAAGCAAGTGACATTTCTTTGTGGCATTATTCTGGAATTTGGCAGGAAATCTTGTAGTACAATTGCAAGGTGTTTTAATCACGTTCTTGGTGTTTTACTATCGTTGCACGTTACCAGATTTGATATACTATGCTCATTTATTCAAATCTTTTTTTCTCTCTCACCATGTCAGCTATTTTATTTAAAATGGATGTTCAACATTTGATTTTGTTTCTCGGCATGTTCTACACCAATTACAATGTTGTATTTTGAACTGTTTACTGTTTTGACAATCCCAACACAGTAATGCTGTGTTTTCAGAGCTTGATGTATGCATCTCAAAACTGATCAAATTTACCTCTACCTTGAGGGTTTGGCCATTAAGGTTTAGATGGTTTCCTTTTTACTTGATGAAACGTGTATAGGGCCTTGACCGGAAGTTTGCAGATTGCACTGATGTATAAAGAGAACATGTGACCGTGAAATGAATTGGCTAGTAAGTGGTCCAAATCACAGCTCTCATAGGTTATAAAATATGAATAGCAAATTTATGCATCTTACAGCCAGCATCAGCAAGGGGTGTAGGGATCAAAGTCATCAGCAAATGGAGCCAAATACCAAAGAAGAAGGCAGTAATTGTACAGAGGTATGTAGAGATGCCACTCCTGCTGCAAAATCAATTTTTTTTATCTATTTGAGTAAGGAATCATCAAGTTAAGTTATTTAGTACCAGTTCGTATAGAAAACCACGTATACAACTAGAAACTCTTGAATGCAGACAAATGTAAACCCGTGCAGGAGAATTTTTAATACCAGGGAATTGGGCAGGTTTGGGTTGAAAATCAAAATCGATTCTTAACATTACATATTTGAATTACAAGTGACCTTTGTAAGCATAATACTATGTGGTTCTATCAGTTAAATAGGTTTTTATAATAGCCCACATTGGATGCATAAATTCCTATAGTTCTACAATTAGTCAAAGCATTTGACAGCAAACACACACATCAAATCAAGATAAGCATGTTTCTTGGCTTTCTGAGACTACATGAACACCACAGCGTCAGTGTACATGAAATTCTTTGTCAGTTTTCATTCAGTTGTGTAATTCTTATAGGTCCTTAGTTAATTATTTAAAATTTTATATTCGGTTAGTTTCAATTTCATGATACACGATGACTCTTCTACTTGTGAACGTTATTGTACAAAGGAATAACAAGAACAAACTTGCTCACATGAGTAGTTGTCTCAGGGACTCCCAAGGTCATGCAGATCAATGCATGGCATTCGTTGTTCGCCGTCATCTTTTACTACAATTTTTCATGTTTTCTATCGAAGTTTATCAAATATTGCCATATAGTGTGGGAAGGACTGCACCAGAGTCCGATACAACCACGTAATGTTGGAAGCAATGCCTTTGGAACCAGTTATATTCAACTAAAGTTTAGGAGATATTGTATTTCCACAGTAGTTCATTGCACAAAGTGAACTGTAACATGGGGCATTGCTAACAGTAAGGTCTTATACATATAGTCCTTTAGAGCAGGGTTCGAAATCCTAACGGCCCGATGCTCATATTTTAAGGCTTGGGCCTGATATTTCTAATACTAGCAGGCCCGACGGGCCTGTAGAAAATCCACCCCAGCATGCAACTAGCAGCATGCACTAGTGATCTCAGCGCTGGATTCAAGAAGAAATGAACACGTATGCAGAAAATTTAGAACACCTCACGCACAACTTTAGTTGGCATTTAAGAAACGTGCGTGGGATGTTCGTACGGACAGGTTCCTGAATCCAGACTAAAAGCCTGAACTGACTGAAATCCAGACTGAAAGCAGCATTGGCACATACAAAAATCGATTTGCCTGGCGGGCCTGTAAAATCCCTTACCTACAGGCCCGGCTGGCCTGTAAATTTTCAAACTAATTTCTACCCCTGCTTTAGAGTCACGCATCTCTAACTTGTGATGTCAGAGTTACCTACTGTTCAGATGCTTTGTTGTTATGGGAGTACTGAAAGCGTCAGTGCTCTGCAGTATTGCTACAATTATTCAGGCATGGACGTCACGCATTACGTATCTCGTGTTATTAAAGGTTTGCTCTTCGTAGTTGGCAAAGTGGTAGTGTTCATGCTTGTTTGACCATAACATGCCACTTATAATTGTGCTAATGTATTGGTACTGAATATTTAAACAGAATTGCAGCAATGATGTGTGATTAATGCTTTGCTGAGGGGCATATATACCCTTGGGGATAGTACTGTATTTAATAAGGCATTTTGGACAAGAGTTATTGACTTCATATTCTCTACTGATTATTCTCATGCTGGGTCAAATATTTGCATATTTCCATGTGTAATCTTCAGTTTTAATCCCTTCCTTTTATAACGCAATTGTTGTACATAGTCACATTTTGTTTTCAAATTGGAACAGTTGCCAGAACACATACCAGTTTGCATTCCTAGAAAAACATTCATACGTTTTTAACTTACGTAGATACATTGGCAAGCCATACCTGATCAATGAGACCAAGTTTGACCTGCGAGTGTATGTCTATGTGACTTCATTTGACCCTCTGCGTGTATACATTCATGAGGATGGATTAGTCAGATTCGCCTCGTGCAAGTAAGTCTGTGACCGGATCTGGATGCAACCCCTGATCCACCCTGTGCTGTCAAGCTCCCCTTGCCACAGTTGTGCAGTCCTAGGCTCCTAGGTTTCCCTGTTTGACTTTCTCTGCCCTGGGTATCACCCAGCTATAGTTCTGCTTTTCCTACCTCCCCCCAATATAACAAGGAATAGTTTGGTAGTGCCTTTTAGTGTAATAGATAGTGAATTCTGTAAAATGATTAATTGTGAGATAAAGCTGTTGCTGACCAATTTCATTCAGGATAAATAGGAAATTGTTCTGAATTGCTGAACTGAACTGATTGCTGAAGAGGAAAACATCCATGATGGGGATTCTAAATCCATTGATAAATGTCGGCAATTCTAGTTGATATATTAGCATGGAAAGAATTTGCAATGCGAAACACGTAAACCTTGCATTTTGTGTGGTTTCACACGCGTGGGATATCATATTTCAGAATTATATATAGTATTCGTATCAAAGGTAGCTTCTTCTGAATATGTGTTATTTATCAGGTACACACCAAGTGTGGACAGTATCAAGAACAAGTTCATCCACCTGACTAATTACAGCATCAACAAGAATCATGCTGGCTACACTTACAATGATGACCATGGAGCATGTAGTGGACATAAATGGTAGCGATTGTTATGCAGTGGATACACGGAATGTTGTTAAATTTCGTCACTTCTGATGGCTGTAGGTGTTCGGCTGGAGTAGTTCCGAACAACTCTGTCCCATGAAAACTACTGTGTTCCTTTATTTTCACAGTGGTCCCATCCAAGCTATAGTATGTTTATCTTGGTCAGCTGGTCAGTCGTATTATGTTCAGATTCATTTGGAGGTAAATGCCGGGAAGTGTTCATTTTAACAATAGTGGTGATCTACACATTCTGAGAACATGTTCAGCACTATCATGTGACCAAGCAGTACTGCAATATCTATTGAATTAAATGTGTTTGATGTTTTAAAAGGAGCTTAGTGACGTTGTGGAAGTATATGAAAGACCAAGACATCAACACGAACGTGATCTGGGAGAATATCAAAGAAATTGTTATCAAGACGATCATAAGGTACGTCCAGGATCCAGCGAGCAATCCTTCTCTTACCTGGCAGGAGTTATATAAAACATTCGTTGGTAAATCTATGACCAAAGCTTGATCACGCACAGGGCAAACCATCCTGGGTGTGTAAATTGTCTTCATGCACACACCTTGCCTAGCTTTCGATACTCGGGTGACGCTGGCTGATATCACGATTCGTTGTTTGTTTGTATTTGTTAGTTCCGAGTCAGGACTGAATAGCCTCATCAGGGGTAACGTCCGATCGCGCTACTCTTGCCATGAGCTGTTTGGTTTCGATATTATCCTGGATGAGAAGTTAAAGCCGTGGGTCATAGAAGTCAATATATCGCCCAGGTAAGTCAATCTGGATAGGGAACCGCATATGTGGTAGTGTAAATTTGTTTCGCGATAAAATCGATTTATTTAACTCGTTAGCAGCAGTTTCAGCAACTGATCGTGTTGACAGGTGAAACTGTTACTTAATAGAAATTAAATTTACTATTATATTATCATGAAATCAGGTGAACCTATTCCAAGATATGTTTAGTATAACTATAAGTAAGGATATCTCATCCAGCTAAGCGTAGCTGGATAATTCCATGAATCTGTATGAATTATGATTCGCGTATCTCCATCTCACAGGCAAATATACTAGGGCCCCATCATCACAAACATCATAAGGTGTTTATGACTATCATATGCTTAATTTCATAACTTTTTTACAACACTTTGTGTGATTAAGCTATGACATGCTATGTTATCGTAACCATTTATGATGTTTCTGACTATGGCCTAGGAGAATGAAAAGCATAGTGATAGCTTGATAATAGCTATGCCTAATAGCGATGACATTGAAATTTATAACTATGTGTAGGTAAAACGGTGAAAGCTTGTATAGGTATTTGCTGAAGCTATGCCGCATGATGGTCCATAGTCATCGCTGTTAAGTTATTTTATCAGTTTATCGCTATCAGTTTATTTATATATAAGGTATTATCAGAAGTGAATAAAAACGATTTTTCAGTCATTTTTATTTTTTTCAATTCTTTTCGCTCCTGATATTATCATTACAACCAACAGTTGATAACACCAATAGTTAGTAGCAATAGTACAGACTGCTATGAAGAGTGTGTTTCTTTTGCACCTTTTTCTCTTTATTGAAAATCTATCTCTGTTAAAATGATCTTTCAGTCTGCACTCGAGTTCACCACTTGATGTAAAAATAAAAGCACCAATGGCCTGTGATCTCTTCCGTTTGGCGGGCTATCGAATTCCAGAATCGCCGCTTGCATTGAATGGCGAATAGTGAGTATTCCTGATCGTGATCCCAGCTTAATATTCCAGCGTGTTCCATTCCACAGCATAACTGATGCTTGGTCTGATTTTTTAATGTCCAGAAAGTAGGGAGTTACATCATTGGTATAACGTGTTTAAATAAACATGACTGCATGTTATTGAAGAAATGCATGATTAATCAAGTTCATATCTTACTTATTATGATGAATTAAGCATTATTGACAACCGTAGTTGCCGCCAACTATTATAATGTGCTTAGATACTGCTTCTCCTAAGTTAAAGTATCAGTTTTTACGTAAAGGAATTGAATATAATATGCGATGTTAGCTAACATGTGACATTGTCCATTATGCAGGGCAAATTCTATATTTCTGTAACAAATACTTGACAGGACCCGGTTCCACAGTCGTGGATTAACTCTTAACTCAGAGTTAAAGTTAATCCACGACTGTGGAACCGGGTCCAGGTGAACACGCACTTTGGCGTGGATTTGTCTGATTTGATGACATCTATTATTGCAGTGTAACGTCACCAACAGGTGGCCGGGTGGTGTCTGTGCATCACACTCTGTACAACAACAACCTGTCAGCGGATGAGAAGGCCAAGCACATTTATTACACGAACAAGTCGCTGGAGAAGGTAACACGCCGCAGCAGCCGTATTCATTCAGCAATTACTCGCTGACACGCTCGTTGTTATCTGACCCACGAGCATCTAATATGATATACAGTTGCCGGTGACACCCTGGAAATGCAATCTACTCATTTTCAATTACTTAATGGCATCAGAGAAGCAGGCCTTTGTAATTATCTGTGTGCGTAATTATGAATGTCAATTGCGTTTGTTCGTTGACAGCTGTGCAATAACTGGTGGCAGTTTTCGTTGCTCATGACACATTCATGTATAACTGATATGGGGGCACTACGTACGTGGAGTTATGAGTGCTGTGATAATTGGCACGTTTTCCTTATTTAATAGCACACAATTACATCAACATCACTGTGAAACAAACAAACGGTTTTACACAACGGTAAAACAAACGGTTTTACACAGACACACACACAAGTACACACATTCACACTGACAATGTATTTTCTGCGCAACTCTACGTAATTCTACAAGTTGGAGAGAGTACGTGCATGCATGTATGCATGCATCTGTGTTTAAATACATGTACATAAAGAGACGTGTGAAAGCACTCACAGAAGTACAGCATGAACATATATGTACTATCTAGTATGGTATACATACATATATGTTCATGAACACACTGAGTGCATGCCCAAACCCATTCACTAGTGAGGGCATGCACAGATATATACATGCACACATGAAAGCAGGCATACTCACAAGCCTTGCATGTGCACTCATAAAAACACTCATAGGGATGCATGCAAAGCAAATAACACTGAATAATTAATAATTAATATATTTATTTTATACTGGCTATTCTAATTTCAGTTTCCTCCAATTATAATCTTTAGATGCACATGATTAGTAGTAGAAATTCTCTTTGCAATTTCATAATTTATACCATGTATTATTACTGTAAATTCTCTACATTGTTTTAGTGCAGCTTATTAAGTGTTATCTGGTGAAATCCTGTTTTTCCTACTGGTAAATATATGAATGATACTGTGTACATTTTGGTTTCATCGACTCTTAATGCTTGATTGCCATCTTTGACTTTTTATAGACAGGTCCCATCACTATGGTGTAAGTAATAATGAGACTGCAGTTTATAAAAGAAATAATTTAGGGTATTTGTTGTTTAACTCCTGTGGGCCAATGCCCCCTATAATATCTTCCTAGAACAATATTAAGGGATAACATTGGACTCCCATTTTCAGCATTGTCAATTGAAATAGATTGTTTCATATAATCAATCATCATTTTGGAAAACTGCCTGTGCATATGCTTTTGTTTATGTTATCACTGGCAGTAATAATGTGGGTTACACCAGTCTAGTTTTTGTGTGTGTGGTACACACATGCAAGTGATAATTATTGTTAGGAAAATGTGCTTATTATCGCTTTTTTTTATCAAGGATTTAATAGTAATTTATGGTTTTTGATATTAGTCACTATAGAGTACCGAAGTGTGACGTCACGTTGTCAAGACAACGTACGGGCTGGTTCTACACAACCCACTGGCTCCATAACATTAACTGCGTGAAAATGTTGTGCGTACGTAAAACACGAGTGTGTGCGCTGCAGACAGCGGTAAAGCATCGGTAGCAAGTCGATCTTACAATATTTAATGAATGAAAATTGTTTTTTTAGTTTTTTTTTAGTTTTTTTTTTTAGTTTTTTTTTTCGTTGCTTTTCACTTCCATCCTTTGGAAATCTATAAAAACTGCAATAATGACTCTCAGAATGATGGTTACAATCAGGTACAAAACACAACACGCAGTTAATGTTACCAGAGCATATGATTGTGTAGAACCAGTAGGTTCGTTGTCATGCCACCGTGACGTCATCACTTCGGTACTCTATTACTGTCAGTTAAGTTGTGATTTTATAATGTGCCACGTGTTAAATGCCAAGTTCAACATAGCAGACAAAAATAGATGTAATTCACTCGTAAAAATTTGTCATTTTTATTAGCTTATGTGTACCAGTCCAAAGAAACTAGACTTATGCAACATGCATCATAATTGCAAGGGGCAGCTTAAGCAAATGTGCCAACCACGTCTGTAAGCAAACACATAGGCAATTAATCCAAACTGGTTTCTGTTTACTTTTTATTAATATTTATCATTAGAAAATAACATGAAACATAAATCTGTTGTACAGTTTTTTGATGTTCCATGAACTAGTTTGAAACTGCATGGATTGTTCAACTGGTCAGCAGTTTTTCGATATTAAATTTAATAACGAAAGTGTCATTTAGGGATGTAATAGTGATTGGAGGAAGAAAAGAATATTGTGGGGAAATGGGACGATTGTTTAGGGGATATGTGGCAGGGGCTTAATATTCTTCATTCTGGATATTATTCTTACGTTTTCTTCTCCAGTACATATGAGAGAGAAGGATATTTTTGTATCTAGTGGAGTAGGAAGCGTATGTTATCCAGATGTAATATTGTCCTGGAGGATATCATCGGTGGAGTCAGGGACATTGCTTTGCTGGTGGGTGGCTGTAGAACTAGAAAAACGTGTTAGCCATAAAACGAGATCGTCTAATGCGCGACACGCATCTGCTGTGCGACAGGTAAGACAAGTGAGCATCCTCGATGTGCTCACGCCGGCGGACGTGCGCGCCCTGGTGGAGATGGAGGACGAGCGTAGTCGCCGGGGTGCCTTCCACTGCCTCTACCCGACGGTGGAGACGCATGTTTACAGCCAGTTCTTCGAGCAGCCACGATACTTCAACCTGCTGCTCGACGGTTGGTTACGGAAGTACGAGAACAACGGCAAGGCAGGCAAGTGAGGCGGAGTAACCCTGCCGTGATTACACGATTCAGTGTCCCCGTTTTCGGTCTAAAACGTTGTGTGAGTTTTGCTCGACACTTTACGTGCAAAGGTTTTGACATCCTAGACATTGTTGATGTCATGTGACTATTTTTAGGGCTCATCTGACAATAGTCAAGCATGCCAGCTTGTAGAATGCGCATGATCGTCAGTGCCGCTCCGTCGGTTCAGCGTGCGAGCCGGCGGTCAAGCAGGTTGGGCACAAAATTCTTAACCGCCTCGACGTAACGGTCACGGATATTCGCGGACGTGGGGCGGGGGGGGGTAATCCGAAAACCAGTTGGGATGGCCGAAGCTGGGGTCAAAGGTCAAAGGTCAAGAGGTGTAACAGAAGGGGGGAAATTTCACTCCTTAAATTAAGTATAAGGCGAGAGAATGCAGAATTGGGGCACAAATCTAAACGGCGTCGACCTTAGCCTCGTGATAGTTGGTGTATGAGGCATCATGGTAGCGAAAAGCCATCAACTGTTGTCGGAATTGGCAGGTCACAGGTCAAAGGTCAATGGGCCACAGGGCAGATTTTAGACATTTCTGAGGACATGTCTCGACGGCAGCGGCGATTGAAAAACTTTTTTGTTTCAGCGCGGTGCCCTATCATTTTTAGGCTTTATTGAAAAGGACCATGAAAAATGGCTGCTTTCCACTGACGTTGCGAAGAGTAAGTGTCTGATAACCTTTTGACCCTCAAGTAGAGGCGTTAAACATCGGATTTGTTGACTGTTAACATGGAGTGAAACTGCTTTTGCCTATTAGAGCCTCCTCCCCCACCATCTTCCCCTCCTCCCTCCCCCACCCCTCCCCCCGCCCCTTCCCGCCCACCCTCCTCCCCCGGCCCTTTCCCCCACCACCTCCCGCCCGCCCGCTTGCCCGCCACCCTCCATCTGCGAATAGGTGCCCGGCGTGTCCTAAGCATATGTGGAAACGCCAACTAGCGTGTCTGCATATCTGCGCCTAACAAATGTGTACTCGACGGCACGACTTGAATTTTACATTCTATAATTCGCTAGCAAAGCAGACCTCAGATGAGGCGCGCGAGACGCTCTGCGGGCTCTTGCTTAAGACATTCTGTGATAGTCATGAACCTATCTTTATGATGTTTCTGAGCAATTGGTCCTAGGATGCTGGCAGTTTGCGGAGTAAAAACAGACATGAAGAGGTGAAAAGAAGCGCTGGGTGTATACATGACGCTGAAGCGCGGCACTAAAACTATTATTTCCTTGTTAGCAACTGGCAAAGTATTGTTGTGTGTAGTACGTAACATGCTGTAAGCCTAACGGCTGAACCATCCCACAGCTGCGCTCGTGTAATCCTCGTTGTGCCTGGCGTCCCGGTCTAAGCTGAGTGGCCTGAAAATGAGCTGCTAACATTGCCAGGACCTGTTGTGGTGAGTGCGCTCAGATATGGCTTGAATGTTTGCGAACATGACTTTACCTAATATTATAAATAAAATATTAGGTATTATATTATCATTACATTAATAATAATAGTAATTAGATATTATTGATTTAATGTGATTAATACTTCTGCGATGGGTAAATATTTTGATTTAACGCGCATGGTTTTCAACAATAGCATCATCTTTGTTGTGGGTCATTATTCAAGCGTGAAATTACAGGGTTAGCCATTGCCCTGGAGTCGCTTGCTGCAAAAGAAGGCTGGCACTTACAAAGAACCTTGGCCGGGCGGGGGCCCACAGATGCCTGCAGCACCACCTTATGGACCTCCACCAGTCACCACCCAGCATCACAGTAATCAGGGTGCCTAAGGTGATGCCACGCATAACAGCAGTGCAGTTCAACCTTTAAGATTGAGGCCCTAAAATCTAGCGTAATGTTTACAAGCCATTTTTATCTCGCAAGGTTTAAAGCAACCACAAGCCTCGCTTTGGTTTGGCTTATATATGTCATGCTCTGAAATGCTTTTAGCTATGCTCGGCAGCCTCACCAGCCACAGCTTGCTATATTAGTTTATCATTAATGAATTATTTATTATTTATTATTCTGCTTTTCATTAATTATTTAATGCGGCCCATTGTGGACACTTTTCTTGAAGCCAATCACGTAGATTTCGCAACGAGCAGCAATATCTGCCTAGACAGCTTCATCTCACTGACTCACTCATTTTGCGCTACTCAGGTGTGAATTTCTACCATATTCATATTTGTAAACCTAACTATTGGTATAGCTAAAGTGAGCAATATATGACCAATGTGCCCAGCATTTGCCGGTGTCGCTGCGCTGCAACATTTAGCGTTCAGCCCGATGCCTACATGCAACATTTTAATGTTGAAGTGATGCGCTACATTGCAACATTTAACGTTGCAGCGATGCCTAAGTGCAAGCATTTTCCAGTGTTGCAGTGGATGCTACGTGCAAACATTTAAAATATATACACACATGCCAACGTTTAACGCTTTTGCATTGATGCTACGTGCCCCAACCTTCAACATTGCAGTGATGCTACGTGCAACATTCAATGCTTGCCAGCGATAGCCTGGCGTACAACGTTTAACATTGCATGATGCCTACGTGCAACCTTCAACATTGCAAGTGCTGCTACGTGCAACAGTTCAACGGTTAATGTTGCAGCTGATGCTATGTACAATGTTTAATGTTGCCAGCGATGCCTACGCTGCCAACGTTTAACCGTTGCAGCGCCATGCTAAGCTGCAACATCTCAATGTGTGCTAGTGATGCTACCGTGCAACATTTAACATTCGCCAGCGAAATGCTACAATTAACGTTGCATGATGCTACGGCTGCAACCGTCAACATCCAGTTGATGGCTACCTGCAACACTTCAACGTTGCCCATGGATTACTGCTGCCAATGCTTTAATGTCTCCTGCAGATGATGCTACGTGCATATGTTTAAAATGTTTGCAGCCGATGCTACGTGCGCGTTTTAAAAAACGTTTGCAGCGCATGCCTATGTAGCAACATTCAACATTGCAGTGATGCTATGTGCAGTGTTATACATTGACAACGAAATGCTAGCTGCTTTGCAACATTCAACCATTGCCAGCCGAAAATCCTATGTGCAGTGTTTAACGTTGCAGCGATGCTACGTGCAACATTCAACATTGCAGCGATGCTATGTGCAGTGTTTAACGTTGCAGCGAAGCTGGTGCAACCTTTTTTTGATATTGCTATTGCGTTCTCCACAGCTCGTCACCCATCATGCAGCAGCGTCAACGGACGCACGTCAAGAAGACTTCAAAGAAGTCGGCCACCGGCATCTGTTCGAAGGTTCACAGCTCGACCGGGCCGCCGGAGCCAAAGGAAGGCGCCGGGCGACCAGCCGCTGCGAGACCCGGCGAGAAACTAGGTCATTAGTGCGGCCTGGCTCTCCTCCTTCCCGTCACCTAGTTCAGCAGCTCGACGTGACGCAACTCGTGACGTCGCGGATTAACGAAGCGTCGATTATTTGATCAGTGTTCGCTGTCGGATGCAGTGCGGCGGAGCTAGGTGTGTGCGTGCGCACGTGCACACGCACACCTCGTCACGCTTTCTCCCTCAGGAAGGTCAAGTGTGCGGGCTTGCTGCTATGCGAGATGCGCACGGCTGCATCATGTTAGTACGATGTGCCGTAGAAACGATGGGGTCTGGCAAACTGGAAAAGGGAGGGTGGCGTGGGAAGGTGATATTTTGCTAAGGAAAAAATGCTTCCGGGAGCAGTTGTGTTCGCAAGCATAGTCATTTTGCTTGAGAGGTGAAAGGTTTGGACAGGACAGTACCGCGTGGTGAGAGACTAGATGGCATATTTTTAATGTGATAAACAAATATTAGGGATTCGTTGTATGGTTGCAATGCATGCTAGCAGTGGACGTGTGCACAACCCAGCTAGTGTGCGGCGTGCATAAAGAGACGGCAGACTATTGTTAATGTATTAAAGCGATCGTTTGGTCACACTAATGGACGTCCTTATGGCACGTTGTCAGGTACAAGCTGAAAGCAGTTTAATGGTGTGATGTGATGCTCTGTTGGTGCTTTTTTCCCAGTTATCTGCCCTTGAACTAGTGAGCGGTCGTGATATAACAAACGCTAATGATAATGCTTTCCTGTCACGCCTAGTGATAAAACGTTTCCCATTTGAGAAGGAACGATGATTAGGAAAATTCACTTTATTACCACATCTAAAGCTTGAAATAGTTATCCGAGTTGTTTAATGGAAATTTCCCCCTTTATGCACAAGGAGAGGTTTTGATAAAATGGAGAAGTAGCCCTGGCTTTTTCTGCCAGCTTCTTTTGGCCTTTTATTGTATAAATCACTTTTAAAGTGGACATACCTTGCATCTCGACTTTACTCCTATATCACCATTTATGAAGAAACAATGTGATTTTAAGAAAGTAGCGTAGAAGTGTGCAAACGTAGTCGTATAGACTATAGTATATCAAAATGCTGCCGTAGTTATCATCAATATATGGTCGCTACTAACTCTGTGCAATAAGGTAACAACATAGCAAAGATTGGCAAGGTTTAACATCACTGATCTCAAAATAGTCTATTTTGAGGTCAGTGGTTAACATTCTATGGCTGGTAGTGCCCTCTCTGGGGAGTTCTAGGTACGAATGATCTGCTAACGAATGGTGGGCACGTATGCAGCAGGCTGTTATGAAATCGACCTTTTGCCTCGTGCTACTATCGTCATCCAAGATGTTAACCAGAAGAAAAGCTAATTATTCTGTTTTTTGGTTATTTTAATTCCTACCGAGGAAATATTTCTCAATATCGTTTATCAATCATTACGTATGCTTAATCAAATTAAGCATTCAGTGCGTGTGCAAGTTCTAGCTCATGTATTAAATACGAGGTGGATATACTCCTACTATGGTGCATCTCCACTGAAAGTTGGCCGCCTTGTTTTGAACGTGTCATGAAGTAATTTCGCGGGATGCTATTGATATTGATGTATCAATTTGTCTGTATTTGCTCAATATGATAAGCAGTTGTTGCCGTATTGCATAGTGACTGTACATGTCTACAGTAAAGGGGGTTGGTGTACGCATAAAAGCATGCGATGGACACCCTCCACGATTATGGCTTCCACTTACGCTCATAGGGTCTATGTCCCCCTAGTTTCAAGAAACGGTATTACTAGGGTTAGAATATCTATGTATATTGACGTTAGTCACACAGCCTGGTTGGGTTATGTCTCCCAGGGTACTATCAGAGGGTACCCTGGGTACGGTTCGATATATCGGAAAGTACCTTGGGGTACTATACGATATGTCGCTGCGTATACCATGCATTGTCCCACCGTACCCTAACTTTCAGCCAACTGATGTCGTAATACATACACTCTGTCAAGTTACCACATCACATAGAAGAAACTTCAAAACATCGCAATCCAATTAAAATGTATGCTATGTTTGACTATATTTTTCTTTTTCCTTTTTTTAAACGAAGAGCTAGCTTTTATATTTTAGTTTTACAACATCGGAAATACTTACTACAATACTTACTGATTGCGAACCCATGTCTCAGCAGCACTACTTTCCTCCCATTTCTAGCCAGTATTTTAAAAATTAACGTCACGAGACATTTAAAGCTATGAATTTAATGTCTGCAGACTTGCTATATGTAATGCACGCCACATTCATACACACACGCGCGCACACACGCATACACACGTGCGCGTGCGGGGGTTGTAAAACTGATGTTGGCTATCTCTATTACAGTACATGAAACTGTCGACGCCTATGTATGCATACACATGGTTCGCACAGTCCTTGAAAAGTCCTTGAATTTGAGGGGAGTCATTGAAAAGTACTTGAATTTAGTAAATGTTGATTTTGTGCTTGAAAAGAATCCTTTCCTGTAATAAAAAGAAATTTTGTGTCATCAATAATGTGCAAACCTCAATAAAAATTGCGTTAAATGAGCTTAAATAGCTATAGACACGAGAGACAGTTAAATGATGATCACAAATTATAGAAAGTCAGTAAAATCATTCAGTAAATCAAGGTATGTTCTAGAAGTGACAGTGATTAAGAATGGGGTTTGGCTCATAGGGTCTATGCCCCCCAGGGAACTGCTGGTCACTATTTGATATGGTTAGGGTTAGGGAGTAGGCGTAGGCGACTCCCTAGACTCGTTAGTGGAGTAGGCGAGGTATGGTACGGCATATTAGATAGTACCAGGGTACGTTCCGGTATACCGGACCGTACCCAGGGTACGTTCCGGCAGTACCCCGGGGTACATAGACCCTCTCAGCGTTATTAAATTAATCCAGGTATGTTTTCTGTCTATGAATTCCGATAAAATATCCGATAAAATGTCCATGTCCTTGTGATTGTTTTTCAGTCCTGTATGAACCACGTATACACTCCACTTTCGTCACTCAGCTATCGGGGAACCGCCCTTAAGATATAACGATGTTACAAGTATATTATCTAGTAAACATGGTTGCCAGTTTCCTTGACATTTGGGCGATCTTTTCTTTCCATAAAAAACGGCTCCCTGCCTCTATATATGGATGTATATCTCGCTGCTGCTACGCGTTGTTGCCTTCGTTTATAGTATTGACAACTTTCAATCATATGCCAAGTTTGCTGGTTGGCAACTGATAATGTCTGATAGTGTTGATTGACGTTTAACACGCCGTGCTAGTAAATCGATCTTCCATTTTTAATAATCGTTTGTTTAAATAGACCTAGCCACTCCGCCCTTTGATGAATCGCAGAGGCTACGGTTACGGCAGCCGTATCTTAATGTCTCGAGCCTACGAGTACGTCAGTCACACTACACATGCGCTGCAGCCGTATCTTAATGTTTCGAGGCTACGGGTACAGCAGTCCCACACACAAGTACAAACATTCACACTATCCCTATCCCTTTCCCCATCCCTAACCTAGCTAACACTAACTCTAAACCGACTCGGCTATCTTATATACGCGTGTCATAGTACCAAATTAATCTATGGTGTGGGAAAGCGACGCATGCGGAAATGGACTGCCGTACCCGTAGCCTCGAGATACGGCTGGCGTACCTCCAGCCACTGCGTTGATCAATAAGCATAGGACCACTCGAGTTACATCCTAGTACGCAAGCGTGTGCGCACAAAATCTGTTCTATCAAGTCTGTGTTATTGCGGCTAGTGTAAGCAATACTAAGCATGTGACAACCTGCAAGGATAATCACCATGTTTTTTAAACGGATAACTGCCTCCAGATAACTCGCAAACGTGTTATAGGAAAATGGTCAGTCCCAGTGGAAATGTCTATGACGGAGAGGTTTCGGTTTCAGATGTGCCTGTGTAAAGGTTGGTATCCTGAAAGTGCTGTACACTTGTTTTTGATGACACATCGCTTCGACCACTAATAGCTACGTACTGTTTATTATCCTATTACCTTTGACGATTTTACCGTCCGAGTGTTTCTGTTAACCTGCAGATGTTTCTATTAAGGAGATGTGAAATAAAATTGTTTGCATCAAATATGGTTGCTGTTGACGTGGACTGTATCGCATAGATGGGCCGCAGTCACGTGCTTTATGGTTTCCCTCAACTCTCGCGTCACACCTCGTGACTGGACTCCTGTGCAAACGTATATATCAAGCTCTGCGACCAAGATGATATATACAAGCAGGGGTGAAAAATGACACCTTTTTGTCATTGATATATATATATATACATATATATATATATATATATATATATATATATGATCAGGAGTTAATAATGGCAAACAAAATTTGTCAATATTAACCCCTGATAGGAGAAGAAATGGTGAAAAATTATTTTATAGTATTCTTTTCTAACCAGGGGTGGGCTTTGGGTATCGTGCGCAATGCGGCATTATCTCATTTGCTAGCTTTCCCTAGGCTCTTAGCTTCTTAGTACGTAAATCTCTGAGGTGAAGGAAGAAAGTGAAAACGTTTTACCCCCTTGAGCATCTCTCAGTAAACCGAAAATTCAGAAAATCACGACGCAGATAATCGTTATTATAATTTACTAATATCGAAACGATGGAAACCAGCAACAGATTATTTTGTTCATTTAACGTTAGACGTTTCATTGTTACACATCGTGCAATAGGCCCAGTATCGCTGTATATGTGAGATTAGGAGTAACAACCTACAACCAATTACAACAACCTTTTAACCAATAATAATTGTGGCGCATAAGTTTTTTATATCAGCTTGAGAAATATACGCACGCACGTATACGCGTATTGTTTGCGAATATACGCCTGTGCATCACAGAGACGGAAGGGGTTGTTATGAAAACTGTCAGCTATCGATACGTGCACGCATACATTACATTAGACATGCGGTTGGTTTCACATGCCCACTATAACCCAACATAAATGGGTTTAATGCCATTAGTTAGAGCAGAGAGCATATACTAACCAGTAATTTGACATCTAAATCTAATCTATAATCATAGGTCTCCATCATAGATTCTCAATTTACAAATTATAACATTTATTAGTAAATTATATACATTTAAAGTAGAAAGTACCCACTCATCAGTAGATTAAAACGAAAATTTCTAGCCCAGTTTCTCATTTTAATAATTATAACAGGAGAATATTAGTGAGTTTTAATCTGTGTCCTATCTACCCGAATTTCGCTAGTATGCACGAACATACGCGGACATGTCCCGTACACGTGAATACAAATGTGTTTAGCAAAGTGTCTAGCCGACGCGAAAACGTTTGGCATAGAAATGGTCAGCCATCGTACTATTCTTTCGATCCATGCACACATACATGCATGTTAGCTCTCTGATTTCACATGCTCAATGCGTCACAAAACATAAGGTACAAAGCACATATTTGCACGTATTTGACATGCTGTATCCCAAATTCTTAAGTCAGTAATAAAAATTAAATGATTTAAAATAGCGGAACATAAAAAAGACCATTCATTGGTATGTGTTATGTTTATCGTGTACATTATAATATTTTATCATCGTCGTATATAATCGTTGTCGTCGACGTCGTCGTCATCATCATCACCATTGCCCCCATGACCATCAATTGCCATCCGTTCATGGTTTCCTTTACCAGACTGCGGTAACGTAGGTCGTCGTTTTACGAATCAGTCCGTGTGTTTGTCGTCGTTATCATCGGCGAGCACCTTTGTTATCGTGCCGCGGGTTCCATCCAAGATCACCTCATCACCTTTTTGTAATAGAAATAGAAAGTTACTGCATCAGCCATCGAAATTACACATGGTCTTATAACTCTATTGATATACATTATTAAGGAAGATTATATTATAAGATTATAATTTTAGTATTTTTGCGTAAATCGATTAATAGATGATTGAGTGATTGATTGAATGAATGAATGACTTACTGAATGAGTGAACTGATGAATAAATGAATGAACAATAACGATTGATAAAATTACTCCTTTTTTTATAAAGATACTTAGGTTCCATATATTATGTTTATATTTTATATTTGTATATTTATATGTTTATGTATTATGTTCATGCTTATAATTATTTTCACGTATGCCTGCGTGGTTTCTTTGGTGGTTTTTCAAAATTTATAGAATAACCTGCTTCGGGTATTTTATATATATAGGCCTACTTTTGATTGAATACCATACCTGTTTTGAATATAGACGTAGCTTTCTTGGCAGAGACGATGCATGGAAGTCCATACTCTCTTGCAACGACGGCACCTGCATCATATAGGTATTTTATTATGAATAAATCATCATAAATTATTCTCTGTAATCACGCTATCAAGTACCAAATATGTGAACTTGACGGTACCGCGAACTTTAACTGCGGCCGTTGTCAGAAATGTTATAATGAGTAAGCCTACGCGTATGAACACGGATACCTGCAGTTGTTTATTCCCACAACCCAAAATCACCACGTGCCGTTCACCGTTCTACAATATTTGTACCTTTATTACACATTTTCGTATAATGCTAACTATTGAAAATGGATAAAATAATTGCTATGAATGTGTATGATGGTGACAGAGCACGACTCTATTGCAATCAACATACCATGTGAAAGCAGGGCACCCATCTCCGTGCACAAGCCCGATATCAGCGGGAAGTATGGAGACCAGCCAATATCTGTGTATCGTGCAATCAATATCTCTCCTTGCTAAAAAAGAAAGATTCAACAGTAGTGTAATGAGTTTGAAATTCCGCACGAACATGACACGGGGTGGCCAAGGATTCTGTTTCGAACTGAATTGAGCAATATTTAGGATATCTCGTGTTTGAGGTAATGCAGAACAGAACTGTTATGGGCTTGTATGGATGTTTAAATGTATTAACGTCATTTTATTATGTCATTATGTGTCAATTATAATGGCAACCCTAATTTCACGCATATTCACAACGCTACCACAACAGCATCTGAGTATTTCATTCACCATGCTGGGACGACTATAAATATATTGGGTACTATCACTATGCTATATATTATTACGATTATGTATTATGTAACACTACATAACGACGCTACTATCATATCGTATATTAGGCGGCGGTGTTCGAGCCTCGAGTAAAAATGTGCGTAGAGGTAAGCATACCTGAATAGAATCGGCTCCTTCCAGTGACGTCACAACTCTGCATTTTGCTCTTATGACGCCTTGACTTACTGGCATGCCTATATTAGGAAACGTTATTATTCTTAGTCACTGCATAAAAACAGTAAAAATTGTATCAATTGCGCGAATAAATAAATATGTATAGCAAATATATAACGGTATAATAGTATATATTATCCTATGCGACATTAACAATTTAACATGGACAGCAATATAAAGGGAATCCATGTTGATTATATCAGTATATTTGTTATTATTCACTTCACTGATTACCTCCGCCAAGGGGTTGGCAGGAGGTTATGTTTTCACCGGCGAGTGTTTGTGGGTTTGTGCGTTTGTGGGTTTGTGGGTTTGTGGGTTTGTGTACAGCCTAACTGAAAAGGTTATGGACGGATTGTCATAAAATTTTCAGGATAGGTCAAAAATCGCCTAACTTAGAATTGATGAGATTTTGGTGGTGATCCGGATCCAATTAAATAATGAATTAATTAATTAATTAATTAAATTTTCAGGATAGGTCAGAAATGGGGTAACTTAGAATCGATTACATTTTGGTGGTGATCCGGATCCAATTAATTAATT